CATCCCTCCCAGGTTCCACTGGGTGCCGCTCACAACCGGAGTATTGAGGAGGCAGCCGCGCTTTGTCCATGGTCACATGAAAAAGGTGGAATAAGAGGCAAAAGAGGCAGCAGTTTGTAACACATGAAAGCTGTATCTCTGCCTCCTTCCCAGAGCAATGTCCAGGGCACAGCACTCTGCTTTTGCAGTGGTTCTGCTTCCTGAATTACACAAGCAAAGAGAGTGTGGTCCTGCCACCTTCATGATTGAGCTACACAGACCTAATCCCTTTCTGCCTGACTCTCACACTGAGGAAGGGCTCATATCTGAGGTTCCTGTTTGCTGTGTGACTGCACTTCGTGTTCAGCCATTACACAAAAATTGGGTGGTTACTCTGCCACCTATGATGGTACCTCATAAGACATGGATTAGACCCACGAAGCATCCCCATCTGCAGTGAGGGCAGCAAGGGAGCCCTCTCACAAAGGCCCTAAGGGCCAGGAAGTCACTGTCTTTGTGAGAGAAACTAAATTTCTGATTCACCTCACTCTACTGGTTTAGGACTGGTCACTCCCCACCACCCTCCCCTCCTTCCTCACCTCATGTGCTTGCATCATCCTTAGAAAGAGAGCTGAAGTGTTTTGAAAAGTATAATCTCTGCCTTCTCATAAAACCTTACAACACATTTAAGGACTGTGGATTTGTGATAAGTAAGAGTAGTTACGGAGTATAAACTATACTGTAAAAGAGACTATGCACTGCTTGTGCAGTACACAGCTATCCTGCTATCCTCTGAAACAGTACCTGCCAAGCAGGTCAAGGAAGGGGATTCTGCCCCTGTACACTGCTTTGGTGAAACCCCTCCTTTGCAGTCCTGTGTCCAGATCTGGGGAAACAATACAAGAGGGACACGGAGGTGTTGGAGTGAGTCCAAAGGAGGCCACAAAGAGGCTCTGAGGGCTGGAGCAGCTCTGCTATGGAGCAAGGCTGAGAGAGCTGGGCTGGTTCAGCCTGGGGAAGAGAAGGCTCCTGAAGGGGAGACCTTAGAGCAGCTTCCAGTGTCTAAAGGGGCCAACAAGAAATCTAGAGAGGGGCTTTGGACAAGGGTCTGCAGGGACAGAACAAGGGGGAATGGCTTTAACCTGACAGAGGGGAGATTTAGATGAGACATTGGGAGGAAATTTTTCCCTGTGAGGGTGGTGAGGCCCTGGCACAGGGTGCCCAGAGAAGCTGTGGCTGCCCCATCCCTGGCAGTGTTCAAGGCCAGGTTGGACAGGGCTTGGAGCAACCTGGTCTAGTGGAAGGTGTCCCTGCCCATGGCAGGGGTTAGAACTGGATAACCTTTAAGGTCCCCTTCAACCCAAACCATTTTGTGATTCTATGTTCTATGCAGCAGCTTCAGCACAGCTACATAAAGAGAGATCATGAGATCACAGAGTCTGAAAATCCATCACTTCACTTTAAAGGGTTAAGCTGCAGATGGCCCACCTCCCATGGGAACAGCAACAGAAAGCTATGCCTAAAACCTGTAATTGATCTACTCTGTTTAACAAATACCCCTTAATTTCAAACAAGATGGACATTACATCCCTACTAATTTTCAATGCTATTTCCACATCTCGTGGACTTTAATACAGTAATAAATTGAGCATGGTGGCAATTTGTCCCCAAAGTTTGCATCTCCTATCTACTGGCTTCCTTAATGATCTCAGCTCTGTCTATTTAAGCCTGTTTAATGACACCATTCCTTGTATTGGTCATTAATGGCATTACAGTTTAATGCAGCATGACAAAGGAACACAATGCATTTCATATAGCTGCAACTACAGTAATGCCTCATTTGATATGCCTACCAAATGGAAGTAGAACAAGCAGACAAAAATGTGCTAGAAATGCAGACTAGCTTAGAGAAAACACTTGGAGTTTACAAGCTGCATGCTGCTTCAAGATTTTCACCTCCCTGTACACAGCTGAATTTTCATTGCAGTTTAGGTCACAATTGAATTAATTCCACCAAAAACATCTTTTGGTAGAATTTTGGTAGATTTTGCTGATGGTAGATTTTGCTGATTGCTTACTTTCAATTCAGTACTGCTGCAGAGCTGCTTCATCTGAATACATGTATCTTAAAGGTTCCCAAGTCTGGAAGCTGGTCTGCATGTAAAAGTTTGTTATACTGAACAGCTTAGTTTGGGGTTTTTGTGTGTCTTCTCAGTGTTTCTCACTGTGGTGTTATTTACAAACTGAATGCAAGGGCAATATGTCAGTAAGATAAGGGTAAATCACTCAGATTTCTTTTCTTATACTACTTAGTTTAGTTCTGTACTTCTTTCTGACTATTCTTCTGTCCTCTGCTCACTAGTGGCTTCCTCTCCTATCCATGTAGCATTTCTTCACATTTTTTGTAATATCTAATAGTTATTATCTTTTTTTTGCCTTGATGTGAACCAGGGGTTATGGCTTTGTTGAAGGTGTTTTTACTGTACTGTAAGACAGTCAGATACAAGATGCACAACCTCATCTTCTTGAATAGGTCCAACACCCCTCTCCCTGGGGATGACTTTGAAAGTCATACTCAGTTTTTGTCACACTCAGTCACCTCTCTTTAAACTCCCATCTCTATTAGTCTTATCATCTCCAAGGCAGAAGGATCATCTTGGAGTAACTACATGAGCGGGCAAGGGAGGAGCTACCAATGTCACCTATCTGGACTTCTGTAAAGCCTTTAACATGGTCCCCCACAACATCCTTCCTCTAAATTGGAGAGATATGGATCTGATAGATTAACTGTTTGGCAGATGAGGAATTCCTTGAGTGGTCACATTCAGGGAGTAGTGGTCAATGACTCAATGTCAAGACGGACATCAGTGACAAGTGGTGTCCCTCAGGGGACTGTACTGGGGACAGCACTATTTAATATCATGACACAGTGTGATTAAGTGCACCCTCCAGAGGGTTGCAGATGACACCAAAGCTGAGTGGCTTTTCAGTCTTAAAGGGGGTTTATAAGAAATCTGGGGACAGACTTCTTAACAGGACTTTTTAATAGTGATAGGACAAGAAGTAATGGTTTTAAATTAAAAAAGGGTCAACTTAGCCTAGCCACAAAGAAGAAATTTTTTATGGTGATGCTGGTGAAACACTGGAACAGGTTGCCCAAAAAAGTGGTAGATGCCCCATCCCTGGAAACATTCACAGTCAGGCTTGACAGGGCTCTGAGCAGCCTGCTCACTGCAGGGGGGCTGGACTAGGTAATCTTTAATGGTCCCTTTCCAACCATTCTATGATTCTATGATTTTGTTTTTTCACCTCCTTTTCTGCATCAAATTCACAAGTTCGTCTCTTGCTCTAGCAAGAGACGCTAGATTCATCTCAATGACCTAGCTTCGTTTTTCCAGTGCTGCATTTTTTACTCTGCTAACCAGCTCAGTGGTGCACTGAATTTTCCTCAGATTCCTCACCAGACTACCCCATTATCCATAACACACTCTCATGGATCCCTCTGCTGTGTTTCCAGAATACTACTTCCAGAGTCAGCTTCTGAAGGCAGCAAACCTTCAAGTATATTCTTTCCTAACAAAAGTTATTATCCAAAAAAAGAAGATATAAGCCCAGTGGAGGAGGCTGTTCTGTCTTTCACTGTCTAAGAATAAACTTCATTATGCCACGAGAAACTTGTTAGACAACTGAGTGACAGAATTATTGAAAGATTACATTTAAGAATTCGCTGAAGGTGGTATGAGCATGAATACAATCTGCATATAAATTTAGTATTATAAAAGATCTGTTTTGGCAATGCTTCACGTAGACACCTTGTAACTGGCTACTGGATGAATGCAAGTTCTAATACGGTAGCAATTATTTTAAACAGAGATTATTATGAAATTACAGTATAATACACAAGAGTAACACTGACATCACTATATAATCTTTGAAGCACTTCAATAAAACTTACCCTAAAAAGAGTCACATACAACCCTGTTCGAATGAATTGCTTTCAAGGGCTGGAGCACCTCTGCTATGGAGGCAGGCAGAGAGAGCTGGGCTTGTTCAGCCTGGAGAAGAGAAGGCTCCACGGGGACCTTAAAGCAGCTTCCATTGCCTAAAGGGGCCAACAAGAAATCTGGAGAGGGGCTTTTGACAAGGGCTGGCAGGGACAGGACAAGGGGGAATGGCTTTAACCTGACAGAGGGGAGATTGAGATGAGACATTAGGAAGAAATTCTTGCCTGTGTGGGTGGTGAAGCCCTGGCACAGGGTGCCCAGAGAAGCTGTGGCTGCCCCATCCCTGGCAGTGTTCAAGGCCAGGGCGGACGAGGCCTGAAGCGAGCTGGTCTCGTGGAAGGTGTCCCTGCCTGTGGCAGGGGGTTGGAACTGGATGAGCTTTAAGGTCCCTTCCAACTCAAACCATTCTATGATTCTACTACACTCCTACAGCTATTCTTAACTGTATTAATCTATAGCAAGGGATATCATCCCTTCCTTTCTGTTCCAATCTCCTAAAAAGGACTAACCAGTGCAGTTACTGCAGAAATAAGTCAAAGGAAATTACTGTATAGCGAATACTTCTGTTCAGCAGAAAACTGCTTTGACACCATGCATACTCAGCTTTGGAGCTGATGAGTCTTCTCACGGTCACTGAACCCACAAACTTTGATTTTCTCTCTCCCCAGAGGTTATTATAGATTTCCATTGGTTTGTGCACTGAGGAAGTATTTTCAATCAATTCCAGCCCTGCAGTATTTAAATAACAATCTCAACTATTTTAAAAGACTCTTTGTTGGCATTGCTGTTCCTGTTCACATATTTTACCCATTAATTATAAAATACTGTGCAACTTGGGGGGAATGGGAAGGTGGGGTGTTGAAGGAAGTCAGTTTAAAAGCATCACTGAAAGGGAAACTAAGCATTCTGCAGCCAAAGAGCTTGAAAATGATGATGTTCCCCCAGGACAGTTCATGATGCCCAATATAAGACAGCGAACAGCCTTTGCACTAACTACTTCACTACAGGAAAACATACCTTGGCACAACATTCCCATAACCTCCCAGCCCTTTAGCAAGTCTTCTCTCTCTTGAAATAACATCCTGACTCCCTAAATTCTTCTTTAATCCGACAGAAGAAGGAAGAGGAAAAAGTCATCAGTTATCCATTCTCTATCCAAAGCGGGGTCAAAGCAGAATTAAGTGAGACTTTCAGGGATAGAACAAAACACTGAATGGGTATATGTTTCTCGAGCAACATTCATTTCTATGCTACGAAGTAATCCTGGGTCTTGCTGGGAAAGAAAATAGCGAAATGGTCCACTGACAAAGCAATGCTCCTCTCAGAAAATGCTGATTCAATGCAACCACATTTTCCATGGAAACATATCAATACCACTGAACAGTCTGACTGAGAGGCAGTAAGATAAATCAGAGCTTATTTGTACCATCTTTGATTTCAGTCCCAATTTCTCCCATGTCAAGTAACACTGACATTTTTGTTTACTGGTTCTCATTTTGCATCGCCAGTAAGCACTGCTTGTCAGCAGCCTGTCTGTCTGCCATCCACACTTTACTGTTAATGAAGGAAAGCTTTCCAAAGCGTATTTTCTTTCTTTCACTGGCAGGAAAATCCCCACTCTGGACGTTTATGAAGTGTAAACCAGCTGCAAGGACCATTTAATCAAGTTTAACAGGAGTCTGACTTTTAGCATGGTACTTCTAAAGTAGTCCAGACTTACTCAGAGACTCTGGATACACAACAGACAATCAGGAAAAAAGACCATTTACCACAAGGATCAGCATTTGATAGTCTGGAGTTACTAGTTGCTTCTCCCTCCAAGGTTGCGTGACAGGATATGCTTGTCAGTATCTTCCCAAACAGTGCTGGGTGACAACAGAATGGTAAAACACTTCACAGAATCACAGAATCAGAGAATGGTTTGGGTTGGAAGGGACCTTAAAGCTCATCCAGTTCCAACTCCCCGCCACAGGCAGCGACACCATCCACTAGAGCAACTTGCTCCAAGCTCTGTCCAACCGGGCCTTGAACACCGCCAGGGATGGGGCAGCCACAGCTTCCTTAACCGAGAGCATATTTTATATTTCATTCCCCATGGTTCAGCATGGGCACCTTACCAAATTAAAGATGGTACGTATATTATTTTCATTCTACCTTTGTATCTACCCCAGCACAAACGGTTAGCCTTAACTTTGCATGGTGCTTGTTGCTGAGTCCCTCTACTAATGCACAGGAATAAAAATTACAAACTACTGGCTTAGGGCTCATTTTAAAGAGATACTTGAATTTCCTCCCAACATTTCCTCATGCAGGCAAAAGCTAACTGCAGCAAGCATGGCAGTAACTCAGCTCAGTTCCTGCCAACCCTGCCCTGCTTGCCACAAATAGGATCTATTTTTTGTATGGAGGAAAATTAACACACGACCTCCATGGGATGCATAAGAAAGAATTCAAAATGCAATGAAAGATATTATGCAAAAAAAGAATTTACACAAGCACACTGGAAATTAAAAACAAGGAAATTACTGATAAAGTAGTACCAGGAATATTATCCTCCGAAAGATGCAGGAGAGAATCAGATCAGAGGCTGCCACAAGAGCTGAGGCTAAACCAAATCAATAACACCCTTTTGTTTGCAGATTACTGAAAGTGGCAGGACAGCAATCAAGATCAACAGACCCACAGAAACAGGCCAGGGCTCTTCAGAGGCTGTCTTAACCTGTTTTCGGGTTAAAGTATTAGTTACGGTGACTTAACTATCAGAAATTGCTTGAGTAAGTTGGCACACTTGCAGTATTATCCTTATTTTAGTAGAGGTGAATGTACAAATATTGTTCAGCCTGGAGAAGAGAAGGTTCCGCAGAGACCTTAGAGCAGCTTCCAGTGCCTAAAGGGGGCAACAAATCTGGAGAGGGGCTTTGGACAAGGATCTGCAGGGAAAGAACAAGGGGGAATGGCTTTAACCTGACTGAGGGGAGATAGAGATGAGACATTAGGAAGAAATTCTTCCCTGTGAGGGTGCTGAGGCCCTGGCACAGGGTGCCCAGAGAAGCTGTGGCTGCCCCATCCCTGGTAGTGTTCAAGGCCAGGTTGGACACAGGGGCTTGGAGCAATCTGGTCTAGTGGAAGGTGTTCCTGCCTGTGGCAGGGGGTTGGAACTGGATGAGCTTTAAGGTCCCCTTCCAACCCAAACCAGTCTGGGATTATATGATAAGAACTGATGTGGTTACAATGCTTAGGAAAACCTTATTTTTCAAATCACATAGTAATATTCAGTTATACTTCTAGATTCTGATTCTGCTGGTATAAAACCTCAGCATTTGTATTTATGACACACAGATCAAGGACACACAGGATTACTGAGTATACCCTAATTTCAAGAAGTGAGTTCACAATAATATTCCATAGAATTTTATTCTATCCAGAGATTCTTTCATGCTTTTCATGCATGTTCCCCAGGAGTTTCAGAGTATAAATGTTCCACTGTAATCACATTTACCCAAATAATACATTTTTCCTAGCCTTGGTATAAAAATCCAGCTCCAGCCTCCATGCAGACACTGGACACTTGTGGAGGGACACTGACTGTTGCCAGTGTTTTTCCACACTGAATTCCTACAGGTTTTCAGCCCCTGTTCGTTCAGCTGTGAACTGAGTTCTTCATCTTGGTCTCCCCCTTGACATCATTCTACAAAAGTCAAATCTCAAGAGACAAGTAGGGGAAAAATCACTCATCACTACTGTTTATTCCCCACTCACCCTGATGAACACAGATAAATCAAGGCCAAAAGAAACTCAGCTCATTCTGAACCCACATTTCTCTCAGGTTTAGGATTATTTGTTCAAGTGGAGTATATTGTTAGATATTGCCAAGTTTGAGTATTTATTCTATCGGATTAAAGCAATATGAATGTACACGTCTATAATACACATATACACACAATCTAGTTAGCTAGACAATTCTTCAGCATTAAGTAGTTTGATTATCTTTTCACCAGACTCACATTTCTCACTGACAGAATGCACCAAATGTTAAGTTGGTATATTACCTTTCTTCTTGTCATTTCAAGCACAAGTGTTTTGCACATATTATACTGCTCAGTGACCTTTTGTAGAGTCTGTCCTTATCTCCTGCCTTTGAAACTAGCACAACTAAAGTAGTCTCAGGAGACACAATAGCCAAGATCAGCTTCCACATTTCTAACACAAATGAAATGTGAAAATAAACTTGGGTCAAACTTTATAACCTTCATGGAACAATTCTATTATCCTCTTCTTGCAGCTGCAGAACAATAAAGTTGCCAATAAAAAACATCCAAAAATCATTATATAGTTGTGGTAGGATCAACTACTGTCAGTATCATAGTGCTGTCAAACTGGCTTCCAGGGTGCTGAAACTTATGTGCATGTTCCTTAAAAAACAATCTAGCTGTTCAAAACTTTTTTGAAAACTGATTCAAATAATCAGTTTTGCAGCTTAAATTCCCACTGACCTCATTACGACCTTTGGGTTTGACAGGAATACCAAAAAAAGGGAATTTTACATGCAGAGATCTTTCACTGAAAGGAAGCACAAAGGGTGAGATTAAAAGGCTGGAAAAAGCTGATTTTGGAAAGGCATCTCTAACTTACTGGCCTGCCCAGTTTAGGCAGAAATTTGGCAGAAGCCAAGCTCCCTTCTCCAGTCCAGATACTAAAGCCCATTTAGGCAGAATTTGCCGTAAGGATATTTTAATGTGTTCCAAATGCCTCTTCAACGAACAGGAGCACTGGGCCACCTCAGCAGGTGCCCATGCAGCAGAGCACATTACCAGGCAACACAGATGACTGCAACTGTCCTCACCTCCAATGACAATCTGCTTCCCAAGTGGTGCAGGCAAAGAATGGAATGCACAGCAGACTCAGACAAAATCAAAAAGCACAAGAACCAAAATGAGCCAGAAGTCTGCCTCCAAAGCTGAATCCTGCAGCTCTATTCTTCTATTTAATTCACAATACATTTGAGAGATAATAGGTCAAATATCCATTGATTTTACCTTCTTATTCCAAATACACCACATTTCTTTCAGGAGAAACTGAGGTGAACTGTGGAATTATTTGGAGAAGAAATCCCTCTGACCTTCCCACAGGTACTCTATTCAGCAAAATTCTCCAATTCTATCTATCACACAATATAATATGGTATTAAAGAAGTGTTCCAAAAATGCCAGCAGTGGTAAGAAAACGTAGGTAAACAAGTAACTTTTACACCAATAGTATTTTACAGTAAGAAACCGAGATGTTATCAAACTACAAGTATGGCGAATAAAACAACATTTTACAAGGCATGCTAAGTGGCTTTCCAAACTTATGCTATTTGTCAAATATATGCAAACTAATAAAAACACTGCATGCTTCTCCCCTCAGCTTCATGAAATATTTTTATCAAGGTATAAACATGAGAGGCACATTCTCTCTTCACTGGCAGTACATGAGCATACTACTGAGAGGAGACCCTTCTCAGACCATGCATTTATATCTGAGCCAGGAGTAAAAGAATAGCTCCTTAAACATTATAAAGAAAACTCTAAACCAATCTTAACTAATCTTTCCTACCTAGCTTAATGAAGACAACACTCCTCATGAATGAAGGCATTATGGAACACTTATGTTTCACATCCTGATTTTTTTCTAGGACTCTAGTATGTCATATTATTTCATCCCTTCCTCAGTCACCCTGCTCAGGAAGAGAATTTTTATCAAGTTCATAGGATATTGTTGCAAGCCCAAAGCATTAAGCAATCACAAACCACAGGGTCCTGCAAGAGACCGTAATAAAGACAGATGATAAATGATGCTACTGCAGCTGCATTTTTAAAAAGACAATATTCATCATAGACAACTGGTAGTAGAAAGAGTGCACAAATGTCTATCTACACTGAGAATTCTTAATGCTTCCAACGTTCCCCTTCCCATTCCATTAAAGCTAATGGAAATATTCTCCCTCGATTTCAAATTGAATTTAAGAACTAAGCTGAATTTAATAGGTGACACCTTTCAAAAGATGCATTTCTTTCTTAATAGAAAGTAAACTCTAAAATGAAACGAGAGAGAAACTGCACCAAGATACCCCTTTGA